AGTGATGCCTCAAAGTAATTAGGACAGCAAAAAGGAACGTCTGTTTTTGGCCATCAAGGTTTGATGACCATAACTCCCCCTTTCTACATTTAAGTCATAACCATCACTCCGATTGCGCAAGGTCGGACACGTCTGGTTTTGTCGATGAGCGTATTTTTGGTTTTTGGTCTCAATGCGAGAGAGAAACAGTGTTTCCCAAAAGGTATCCCCATCATGGCCTCAATTTCTACCCCGCTTGAACTAGTCACATCACCACCCTCGGAAGGACTCAAGCCCGTGTTTTGGTAGTGCAACGTATATTCTCGACATGATAACCACTACTACACATTGCCACTAGGGTCTTTAGGCTGTAGGGCATAAGAAAATTTCAAGAAAGGTTAGGCCTTTTCGTATATCACCTTCGATGGTGGGAGCGTCGATGGAGCAAAGTTGCATTTGCCACTACAATCAACAACATTAATTATTTTCAGTTTAAGCTGCGTAGTGTTTTACGTGTCGAGACTACACGCTACACAACCACAAGCCAGGTTAGAGTCCCGCCAGGGGTGCTGATACAACCAGTTCAGGAGAGGTCGTAACTGAAGTCCCCTCCAGTCTGGATGAGAATATATTTTGGGAGGCAAGGCTGTATGAAACACAATGTAAACTTGAGGCATGCTCATAAGATTGTGGAAGAATTTACCTTAAACGAAATAGGATCAATACAGTTCTTATCCAAGATCCACTGGTAGTCAAAACAACGGTTACACATAAACTCATATGGTCTCAAGTAGTGTGGTCAGGTGGGTGAAATCCGTAGCTGTAGCTGATTTAATGAAAAGATAAGATGAAATAGAGAAAGGCTTGCTAAGATGAATTGTGCAATAAAGTTCATTGAACGACCAAACCTACTTTCTAATCCCTTGAGAGCAGAATTACTATCAGTTAATGTTAAATGATGTCAAAATAGTACATTCCGTCAAGTATTCATTTTAATTTTTGAGTTCCTATTCCAAATGAGGGTGTTTGATAAGGAAATTACTTTACTGCAACATTCTTTCTAACGTCATCCTTGAGGAAATCTTCTTCAATTCCGATGCGAACGTGATAAGCTTTTGATTAGAACTTAGTCACCCGAGTTCGCTAAGGTGATTTAAGGACTGATAGGGGGGTTCTTTCCAAGATTAGATGAGTAGGCCTTACGATTGAATTTCATCTATCTTAACCCCCATATATATCTTTATCATCTAGCTTGGATTGCAGTTTCTATCTGACCTTGGTCTCCTCAGCTCCATCGGCGGGGCTCTGTACCGGTGCTGAGACGAGACCAGTGAGCCAGAAACTGTAAACCATCTTGAATGAAATAGGCCCTTTTGAGGCGAGGTTTTCTGAAATTCAATGGAAGCTTAAGGCCTTCCTATGAGATTATAAGATTGTAAGTTCATCGATCACATCTTCTTCATATCATGCGACCAAGAGTGTTTGTAAATCCTATTCTGGTAGCAGTCTTGATTTGTTAGCTTTATTATGGCTGCAAGAATAGCAGTCTGTTCTGATGATTGTTGAGCTTACTTCCATTTCGAGTGAAAGTGTTGGGTGAAGAGATTCGAAGGTCGGTCATATGACGGACGAAAGCTTACCACCTTTTCACCGGAATCGAAGGAGATTGCCTCGGAAACAGCGTCAGTATGAATTTTTCAGTAAAGCCAATCGACAGCTGGTCTTCTGGTGGAAGCGACCTTCGAATCTCTTCACCCAACACTTTCACTCGAAATGTAAGTAAGCTCAACAATTATGAAACAAGAGACTCCTCGAAACCCAACTTTTCTTCGAATATGTTCTGATGATGTTTGTCATATGACAGACGAAAGAATAAAACTTTTTGCTCGGAATCGAAGGAGATTGCCTTGGTGATAGTTTCATTGTCGTCTCCTGTTTAAAAAAATATTCGAATATTTTTATCTTAAAGTTTCGTTTAAGTTGAAAATGTATTATTCCTTTAAAAGTAAGTTTTCCATACTACCGGAGTGAATGCACCCCATTTCGTTTTAGGTGATCAGGTGAATAGTAGATGAATATTCTTACACTACACTCCGTATATATGATCTACTGGCAGTCTCAAAATCCTACTTATAAACGAAAAATAAACAATACAGTTAATTGCTTTAGCAAATACAGCTTTGCTGCCTCGACAACCCAACCACAGAATGTGGCACGGGAAAATGCCTGACCTTTCATGAAATTCACATCTCCCCAGTCACCCAAAGACACTCGTGACAGTCTGGCGTAGTGGTTAACTTTTCGAGAGTATATGCTGCACCGTCATGATTGAAGTCTCGCTCGGGGTGCTGGTGAGACCAAGTAGGGCGAGATTGAAACTGCCGTCCACCCTGGATAAGAATACCTCTTAGGAAAGCAAGACTATGTGAAATTCAATAAAGACATGAGGCCTGCTCATAGCATTTTGGGAAAATTCAATTATCAGTCTCCTTATGAGCTTAAACGAAATAGGGTGAATATATCACACAGGCCTGCGCTTGCCATTGCATTCGGATATAAGTAAATTTCGAGAATATCAGTAGTTGTTGAACAAGAAATTATATTAAAAATTAGGGGATAATTCACAGGAATTTAAGTCTAACAGTAGATCTCGCTTGAGATGGTCACCCTTGGTCACTTTAGTCATCCACGGACAGATGATCACAAATCTTGAGTGTATAGAGTTGAGAAAGGCCGCAAATTTTAGGGATAAAACTACATGAGGTGGGATTAATAGAGAAGAAAGCCCGTGTCCATCTTTGTCCTGCACTCCTCCAGCAGCAAGCCGCTGACAGAGTACATTCATAGACGTTAAATTAGCATTGTAGTCAGCCGCTCTTGACTGGCATTGTCAGTGAGTCGTGCCAACCTTGGCGCAACACTCATTGGCGACCTCGATTATGATGCAACCTCGTTACCGGAGAAACGTTCGGGAATACGCTCAATAAATGGCCTAGCCCTGAAAGCAGAAAGTAGGCGGATATGACTGCGAATCTAGAGCATGAGACAACATACCGAAATCCATTCCTATTCCAGGATAATCTTTGGACCAAATTATACTTCTTACAGATGGAATTCTCATTAAAACTTATAAACTACATATTATTCACAATTACTGTGACCAAATGGATGACAAGGACGACAGTCCCTATGCTCAAGCTACATGAAGCTTTAGATTTTAAGCTGTCATTATCGCCTAGGTTGAGGGTAAAACCAGTTACCTATAAATATCCCTATTACCAAAACGTCAAAAAACTATATACTTTCATTAGTAAATCATTCCATTGCAGGCTAAATAGCACATTTCGATTGGTCACTTAAAAATAAGTGTCAAAAATATTCATATTAGGTTGCTAAATATCATTGCAATTCTTCGTATATGTAACTAACAAGATTTACTCCAACAAAACTTATTCTAGAAGTGGGTTGACCTCATTTTCGCAACTTGGTCTTGTTGT